ACATTATGGACTATATCAACAACAGAAACAGGTGGTGGAAAGTAGGTTGAATGGAGAGCTGATGAACATTTACACCCCTCTCACCCTAACATAAGGGCACATTTTGCTTATGTATTTTAAAGATAACCTTCACTTCTATTAAAACTTTCATAGCAAAGAATCTCAAAGCATTATATGAACACATCTATGTTACTCTCTTACTTTCAAGTTGCTACCATTGCTATCACTATTCAGCAGCAAACCTAGCCATAACCTATCTTCTTGGTGCAAAAAGAGAACTTTTTCTTGGGAACAAGAACAGGAAGGAGGTGACACACACATAAAGGAATTTAACGGAGTCCAACAGACAGTTCTGCTTCCAACATCTGAGCTACATTTACAGCAAACAAATGTAGATAAAATCACTGTTGACAAATCCTTTTAAATTGACCACAACATATGGCATCCTTTGGCCTCCTGCATGTCACCTTGAACTCTCTGAATCCTAAGTTTATTTCTGCATAATTCCATATGCAATTTTCTAGGCATTGAAACCATTCTTAAACTTGCCTTCTGGATTCACTCCTGTTTTATTATTAAACCTCAGTAGCTTCAAAACATGTGAACAAACTGAGATCCCTTGTTGTTCAGGTGAGGTAGAGAAGCATAGATTAGGGGTTGGGAAAGGGCTGGGTGCTAAAGTCAGAGGCAAATTAAATGCTCATAAATTACCCTGCTGTAGTTTCAACTTAGACATTATTCTGTAAGGGCTGTGGCTTACCAATCAGGACCAGAAATAAAGGGATTATTAACCCTACTGATTATCTTCACTGTAAGAACTCCTGCTTGAACCTGAGGGAGTTTACTTCATGATCCATGTAGAAACTATTAATATGTTAATATAACTCCAAATATATGTTAATCAGATTACAGAAATATTCAGATGTAGTAAGAAACGGTTCAATATTATCTACAAATTCCAACAAAAAATGGTTGGAATGGTAACCTGAGCAAGGAGCCACTAGAATGGGTGCCATCACTATTTGGGTTCCTCATTCTCTTTGTCTTAAGTCAGCATTATCAACATTCAAGATGCTATGATTTTAGTTTGTCAAAACAAATCTATAGCACAACAATGTTAACAAAAATTAAGGGACATGCTCTGCTTCAAATAATCAGATCATAAGTCTTCCTTTGAACTGGAACCTCCACTTGGAGCACAAATCCATCTTCTTCCTTCCCCAAGAGCCTAAACTGTAAGAGAAGCTATTTCACTTCACACTTGCAATGTATCTCAGTGAAAGTGGAATAACTACCAACTGGAGTACAAAACATAGGTTTAAGACAGAATCAAGGATTAATAAATAGTAACTGAGAGTGGGAGGGGAGCAAGGAAAAACTAGAGTGCACATTATGTACTAATAGTAAGAAACAATCCTAATGGCGCCAGAAAAAAAACAAAAAAAAAACAAAAAACTAGGCACCTGGCTCCATTTCTGTACGATACAGTACAATTTACTTAACAAAATTGCTTGGGGGGTAAAAAAAAGGAAAGAACTGTTCAGTTCACCTATCCAGAATAAACATTTGCTTTTTAATTCTTTTATATACAGCATAAGAAGTAGGCTTAATAATGAATAAATTATATTCAAGGAATTATCTTATGTCAAACATTTTCTAAAATGCTTAAAATAACAAATGTTATTAAAAAGCAAGGCCACTTTTTCTCTTTTGAAGATAGCTGGTGGAATAACCAAAATAAGTTTAAATCTTTCAGCTTTTTACATTTCAAGTCTATCTTTTATATGCAAAAGATGAATATTTTCATCTAGCACAAGATTCACCAAATAATAACATTAATAAATTTCTGGGGAAGGGTCTCTGATAATTAGGATTTTCTTGCAAACCCTCCTGGCATCCATTAATGAACTATAACAGATCCAAAACTTTTTTGTTTTTCCCCCAGATCCAACCCCTGGAGGTGACCCTTCTCACTACCTACTAGTGTACTAAATATGTTCTTCTCAACCCTTGAGGACTGTCCTTTGATTTTTAAAGTTTTTAAACTACTCTATATGAACAACTTGGCAATATATAGCTATTACGTATTCCTTCTCTTGCACTAAATACCCAGGCTTGCAAATTTTTAGAGACAAGGCACTGACAGCTACACCTTTGCCCATGACTGTAAATAAATCAGCGTTACTGTTTAGCTTAACCCCATTCCTTTTATAGGCTCAGATACGAAATCACAACTGATTTATTGTTGTGATACATGTAATTGCTTATCTCATTATCCCTCATTAGCTTCTCATGTTCAGTGAAAGACTAATCTTGGGAATGTGAAGGTTTGGGGCAATTTTTTTTTCACATGTTCACAGATGTTTAAATTGATACTTCAGACCAAAACAATACTAGGAAGTGAAGTAATTATTCTAGAAAAATAATTGACTTCTTGTGAGGATTAAAGCAGCTAACAATTAAAAGGAAAAATGTTTGGTGAACCATAAAGCAGTAAGAACATGGAGTAAAAGCTTCACAGGGCAGACAGTTACCTGTTTTGTTCACTGATTATCCCAATGGCCTAGAACGAGCCTGACACATGGAAGACAGTATTTGCTGAATGAATGAAATAGATGGTATGATTAATACTGGGTAACAAAAATAATGAAGCAGAGATGAATCCTGTAGGTAAACAGTATTGCATTTCACCAATGCATTTAAAAAGAACTTGGTGGTTTTCTTATTCAACATTCAGATGGGTGACTCCACAAATTAAGGTTGAGGAAAATATGAGTAGTCAATATGCTGAAATGATTAAAAATCGCATTTTGCAATCCACTCCTAAGTTAGTGGCTAATGAGTCAGAACTGGTTGCTCACTGCCTTCAGAAAGACTGTTCTTTCTGAAAACTGTTTTTCTATGTGCTCTCTACTCTCTATAGAACATAATCACTTTCATCCTCATCTAATTTTCAGGTGCAAAGTAACACTGTTGGTACTCATTGTGACTCCATAATCCTACACAGTATAAAATAATTCCTATAATATTTGATAAGGCCAGAATCTGTCATTTAAATAAAACTGGACAATGTTAAAAAAAAAAAACTACATCCTTTGTCAAATTATGAAAATAAATGAACACAAATGCTCCTTTTAAGCAACACATTCGTGGGCACAAATTTACAGGGCTTTAATTTTCTTCTTGAGATATTTTTTCTAGTTTCAAAAATTAAATGCACTTTTTACAAGAATAATTTTTGGAAATAAAAGATTACTTGTTCAAATGAAAATTAACCTAAAAGAACATATAATCTTCAATGAGATCTAGATAAAATGTTAGAAAAAAAGATATGCTTAAACTACATTAGAATACCTCAAAGGAAAAATATAAATTCTTATGCTCTTAATTATTCCAAAAATTATTTTTGCATTTTGACACTTTTAAAAGCATACAAGAATGAATATGTTCTTGAAAATTGAAAGAATGTAGCTAGGAAACCCTTTTCCCAATAAATTGCAATATTTTGAATGAAACAAAAAGGGCATATAAAGTTATTTTTCAGAGTTATTGACATACCTGCATTTGATTAGCATTTGGTCTATTTAAATTTAATCTATAAAATCTACAAAGGTTAAAATTAAGTAATTTTCCATTGCTGAGTAGCAAATCATCATCAGGAGCAATATAAGGGTCCTTGGAAAATAACTTTTATGAACATAATGCCAAACCACCAAAAGTTATGCAATTATTACATTTTCTTGAAAACTTTTTTTTTAAGAGACATTATTTACTGACTTTGCCTACCTGAACATGTTTTATATGTTTCTAATTTTCCTACTACTTCAAAAAGAACAAAGTGACCCAAATTTCCAAGGCTTATAAACCTTGCCTTAACTATACTTGTTTCTCTCCCAAGGTGCAAAAAGGCCTCCTAGAATTTAGGTTTTTACACGATGTGAATGAGACCTTTAGCAACCATTTCAAACTGGAAGACCAGGGCAGGTTCTAAACATGTTAACGTCTATAAAGTCATTAGCGATCAATTTGATCTGGCAGTTTACTGGGACGATGCAATCTGCCGAAAAAGCATCTATTAGTCATTCTGGACAAACCCACCGGGATTAAAAGAATGAGTTAAGATCGTCTAAGGACAGAGACAAAAAAAATAAAAACTAATTCAGCTTCTGAGTCTCAAAAAGGCTTTCCCCTCTTATACTGCCAATTTCGGCAGCCCCACCATACGCTTTAGCAAATAGTTGACTAAATTGTCCACCTTCTTCCTACTCACACCACTTAACGTTTCATGCGGGAATAAAGACAAACCCAAAATGCCCTTCTTTTAGCAAGATTTCATTTATCAGTGAACTTCCTACTCCAGGTGCCAAATCATTGTTTCAAACTCAGCACGAAGAAAAAGTCGACCTGACTTCCTCACTAAAAGTGAGTCAAAGCTAAACTCTGCCCAATGCTCCTTCCCCAGATCTTTGCTAAGGCTCTTGCAGGCCCCCAAACTGTCGCACCAACGTAAGAGGCAAATGCCCCACAAAGCGCGCATCACGCGAAGCGCTCGCATCCAGGAACCTTCCAGCGAGCGTCTTTACGGCCTCTAGGAAAGCAGCGGGCGGGCAAAAACTTAACTGAACTTTGGGAATCCTGTGAAACTGGAGCCGGGCGACCGAGGGCTAACCCCGGGATGCCTTCGGGGTTTCTCCCAAGGGCCCGAAAGTCCGGGTAGCCCGACAAGCTGCAGAAAGAAGAGGAGGAGGGAGTGGAAGCTGGTGTCATGGGATGCGGAGGGAGGGGGGAAGAATCACAATGCGTGGTGGTTCCTCTCCTTACGCCCAATCACCCCCAAAGTGGCTAGGGGAGATGTTCTAGGGGAGATGTTCCCTATCTAGGAGGTTCCGGGCCAGAGCGGGTTCGGGCGCACCGGGGATCGCAGCGCCCTCCGAGCTTTGCGCGCCGCGGGCGGGCGGGCGGGCGCGCCCCGGGCCCGGGCCCCCCGGCGCCGCACTCACCTGGGGCGGGAGGGTGGAAGGTGCCGTCTCGGTCCCCGGGGGCCCGGCCCGGCAGCCTGGCGCCGTCCGCAGGGGGGCTGAGCACCTGAAATGCCCACCGCGTGCCATAGGGTGCCCCGCCGCCGGGGCTGGCGGGCTCGGCCGGCGGGCACAGCTTCAGGGGCACCGGGCTGGCCGGCAGCGGCCGGACCTGCGCGCCCGCTGTGGCGGTGGCCGTGGCGGTGGCCGTGGCCGTGGCCAGCGCGGCCGCGGGGCCGTGGGGCGGGGGCGGCTGCAGCCCTGGCGGCGGCGGGGCGCCCCCGGCCCGCAGCAAGTTCTCGATGAGGAAGCTCTTGCCCAGGCTGCCGAAGCCGGGCGCGGCGGGCCAGTGGAGCAGCGCGGAGGAGGCCACCACGTCCCAGTAGGCGCCGGCGGGGGCCGCCAGGGCGCTGGGGAGCATGGTGGCGCCCCGGGCCGGCCGCACGCCCGCCTGCGGCTCGCGCACCCCGGGGAAGGCAGGCAGGAGGAGAGGCCGCCGAGGACGCGGTGGACTTGGGACGGTATTATTTATTTGGATCGGGCGTTTCTTTAAAGGAGGGGAGGAGTGAGCGTGGGAGGGGGAGGCTGTGCGTTTTCCTGGCCCTCGGTGTGGGCTCTGGGGGCGCGGAGGATGGGGCATGTTGGGGTGGGGTTGGGGGGCGTTCCTCCCGCTTTCTATGGGGATCCGGACGGGATTTTTTTTTTTTTTTTAAAGAAAGCTGGAAGGTGTGTCCAGCTCATCCATTCACGTCACCCGGCCCACAAAGTGACAGACGCGGCCAACAATAAGGGCAGCCCCCAGAGTCCGAGCTCTGGCGAGGGGAGGGGGCGGCTAGCTGGGAGGAGGTGGGCGTGGAGGCGGCGTGGACGGGGCGCGCTTGGCCTCCTCTGGGGCCCTGCTCCGGAGCGGCTCTCGAGCCGAGCCGGAATAGCTCCTGGGGCGCCGGCAAGGAGCCCTGCCATCTGTGGAGGATTCGTGTGCCACCTGTTGGGCGACTTCTAGCTCTCCAGTGGTGCCACTTCAGGAACCAAGGGGCATCCCGGGAAAGTACCCGGAGCTGTCACTGACTAGAAGGGCAGTAGTTTTCCAAGTCACAAGTGTTGCTGAGACTGCTGTGGCAGCACATTTGAAAAGTTACCTTTAAAGAATGGGTTGTTTGCATATTAAATGTGGCCCCTCCTTGTTTTAAGGTATGAACCCTGAGGTTGGGGGGGGGGGGGAATCATCTACTAAGAAGGACTCTCAGTAACTTAGATGAGCTCTAGCTTATTTTTTAAAAATATAAAATAAACTGAAACCAGTTTGGCTCAGTGGATAGAGCGTAGGCCTGTGGACTGAAGGGTCCCGAGTTCAATTCCTGTCAAGGGCATGTACGTTGGTTGCAGGCAATCCCCAGTAGGGGATGTGCAGGAGGCAGCTGATTGATGACTCTCTATCCCTTTCTTCCTCTCTGTAAAAAATCAACTATACACACACACACACACACACACACGGGGAAAGTCAGTACTGCCTGCAATGGGTTCTTGCCACCAAAGCCAATCCTTAGAAAGGAGTTCCTGGAAATGTATTTCAACCAATAGGACTGAGGCATGCCCTGTCCAATCAGAGCTGGGCAGCTATGATCCCACCCAGCGTTTTCACTGATCAATTAGAATGGCTCCATTCTGACTAATCAGGACAGTGCCTTTTGGACCAATCAAATTGAGAGGATTTGGAACCCTCTTTTGCATGAAGACAGACCAATCAGGAACCAGGGGTGGGGGCTTCTGTCTAAGTCAGCTCTCCTGTGGCCTGAGGAGTCTGTTTTCCCTTTCCACTAAGAATTACTTTCCACTGGCTGGAGCTGAAATGCCAAAGATGTCTGGCCAGAGCCGAGGGGGAGCTGTGTAGCTGGAGAGGGACCTCACCCCGAAGCCTGCACAGCCTTCTGTTTTACAGCCATGCTGCTTCATGGCTGAGCTGTAACGCTATTGAACTGTTCCAAAGCAGTGCTGTTCTGAGAGCTGTGCTGTATGTATCACAGTTGCGTTGTGTGCATTGAATTAAGTTTCCTTCTTTGTCACACCTCAAACTGGGGAGTCCTGTTGGTGTTGAATTGGCACCAAGGACCATTGGTTGACAAGGGTAAAGGAAATAACTTTTTTAAGAGACCGTATAAGAAATTTCTCAGTTGCCAGTATTTCATGTCATTACTTTTTAATGATTTGATTGATTGATCTGGATTGGGATAGAGAGGGAGGGACCTTTGATTTTAGAGTTTATACTGAGACCCAACAGCTGTTTTCAAGTCACTGTCACCCTCATGGCCATCTGAGCTGTGCCAATATTCTCTTATAGCTGCGGCCTCTCCGATTAAGTTTCTCAGGCGGCACTTTGAAGGCTGAGGCCACACAGAGTCCTGGGTGTGGGGAAGGGAAATACTGGTGGTTTCCACCATTCATTGTTTACACAACCAACCCCTACTGTCCAAAGGTGGTGACTTTCTCAACTGGAACTCAGTTACTTTCTGTTACTTTCTGTTGTTTTTCCTAGCTTAGTCTTAAGATTGTTCTCTGGCAATGTCTTAGGATTTCTTCATAGCTTCTTGCCTTTTTTTTATTTCTTTACTGTCATTTCAAAGAATCTGGGAAAAGAAGGCAGATAATTAAATTGGTCAGTTGGCCATGCTAAATAGTGAAAAAAAAAACAAACAAAAAAAAAAACGTTAGCGTTTTTTTTTTACAAATTGAATTCAAGTGCTTTCACCGCTGCTCCTCTCACACTCCTCTGGTCATTTTCTTACACGTGAATGGCTTTAACCTGTTTACCCCTTGACCCTACCTGCCAGGCCCTAAAGGCATTGGAGCCTTCCACCCTGTGCTCCCCTGCTCCAGTTCTATCACACAGGTGTCTCTGGGCTTACAGAATGGATAGTCTGTGTATGTGTGGTAATTTCATCTCTGCCTTCAGCCCCATAGGAGCCAGCTCAGGAATAATTGGGATGGAGTATGCTTACATGAAGGACTCTTCCAAGAGAAATCCTACCCAAACACTCAAAAATACAGAGTATTTTTAAGTATTTAGCAATATAAAAATGTCTTCCTCCATTTAAAAAAAATTGATTTTGGAATCACTCCAGAAGAGATGATCTAACAAATCTTGATCTGAAGAACGGGATCTTAGTTGGAATTGGTTAAGTGGCAAATGGTAGATGGTTGGGTCCAAAACCTGGGAAGAAAAGCCACCACCAAATTCTCCTAAGCAAACATGGTTGGGTCCTCCTCTGCAGAGAGACATGCATGGGAACACTGAATTACCGATGATTAGAGTTACTTCCCCTCCCCTAGAATTAGGTGACCAGATCGTCCCGCTTTTGGCGGGACAAACCTGATTTCTAACAATTTTTTCCGTGTCCCGCGGTGTTTTAAAAAAAAGTCCTCATTTTTGGAAAGATTGATAAGATTCTTTCCAAAAATTGGAACTTTATTAAAATGCCCCGGGACATGGGAAAAATTGTTAGAAATCGGGACGATCTGGTCATCTTATGATTATATTTCCATTATTAACTGCCTGGACAGGTTGGAAAAGTGTTTGACTTTTCAACCTGTAGAGCTCTTAATTTTGGAATGTGTTTCTGTCAACTGAGTGTTAAAAATGGCACTTTCCATTGCCATTCTCCTGTGAAAATTTAGACAAATTTATTAAGAAGAAGATTTTTATTGTCAGGATTGCAAATGTCCCCCATTTAAAATCTATCTGAAAAGTTTGGGGTCACCCACATAACTTTTCTCTTTACCCTAAGAATAATTTGGTCCATAGCTTAAATTTACTTAAAAGCTAGCTAGAGTTATGAGGCCAAAGATAAATTTCCTTTTAAAAACTCACCTGGCTGATATGTGTTTTATTGGCCTTAGTTATATCCAAAGCTTTTGAAAGATCCACCCTCTACATGTGCTGCTAAGTGGGAGGGATGTTGTTTGCAAGGCTCTCCCACTTAAATCACTTAAATCAATAAGTGAATTAATCATGTTAATTCACTTATTGATTTAATTAATAGACCTTTACTGAGTATAGCGAGCACTTGTGATCTGGGAAGATATAGAGAGTAGAAAGGTCTGGTCCTTGCCTTGTAGGCAGACATTCAGAACCTCATGAGGGAGAAAAACAAGTAACACCTGAAAAGGGGCTTATAAATGTGGAAGGAACAGTGTGAGACAACTTCCAGAGGCAATCTCCCCTAAACTGTGCCTTCCAATGTGATCAGTGGTCTGTGATAGGATGTGTAGTAGTCACCTTTGTGATTAGCAAGGAAAAGAGGTATTATCCCATCACTGCCATTGCCATTTATAGCCACCATTTACCCAGTGTTTATGGTCTGCCAGGTATAGTACTAAGCACTTCATAAATATTAACTCTTTAATCTTCACAATAATCCTATAAGGTCAGTAATGTTATTATGCCAGTGTTACTGATGAAGCACAGAGAATTTAAATAACTTTCCTAAAGCTACACAACTTTCAGAATGACGAGACGGAGATACCATACAAGGCTGGATAATTCCAAAGCCTTGGAACCTTTAAGTTCAACTGTTACCCTCTTCACCTGATTTACCAGGCAAAATGGTGCCACCTGACCCTGCAAGGGAGGCTGAAAAATAAGTATTTCACTTTTCTTTAGCAGAAGGAAGACAGTGAAGATTTGAGTCAGGAGTTAACTGTTGGGTCAGCCAGCTTGCCACAGCCAGACACGAATCAATTGGAGAAATCCAGACACAAAAATGGTGTGGAATTTAATAAAATTAATGGAAAGAAAATGGATTAGAGGGGATAAATATTGCAATGGTTGAATCTATAGGACTGAAGGGTGAAGTTCTCCATTGGGGGTGACTTCCTCCCTCCCCAGGGGACATTTGGCAATGTCTGGAGATAGAGTTGGTTATCACAGTTTGATGGAGATGGAGGACTTAGCTACTAGGGTCTAGCAGCTACAAGCCAGTGATGCTGCTAAACATCTATACTGCACAGGACTGCTCCCACTGCAAAGAATTATCCAGCCTTAAATGTCATTAGTGCGGTGATGGAGAAACCTTGGTTGCAGAGGCCAAGGAAAGGATGTTGGATCACTTCCAGGTTTCTAGTTTAGTGACTGAGCAGACGCTCATTTATCTAGATGGGGACTTATAAAACCAGAAGCAGGTTTTGCATTGAATATGAACATCTGCTTATTTATGAAGTCTTTCAGGGAGAATCATGTAGTCAGAAGAGAAACGAGTTGAGACGAATGCTGAGGGAAACCAACATTAGGGGATAAAAGAAAGAGAAGCTGAGGAGGAGCCTGAAAACAAGCAGTCCGGATTGGAAGATAGGAACCAAGAGAATGGTGTCATGAAAAAGAAAGGAGGGAGAGTTTCAGAAAGTAGGAATGCCTGCCACACTCTGGTA